ACATTCACATGAAAATTACTCTGAATTAAAAACACTGATCATTTATTGAACGGGATGGAATAATTTCATATTTAAAGTACTTTCAGACGTTTGAATTCTGAATATGACCTGAGCAGACTTTTCCTTTAACACCTCTGGAAGCCTTTTATATTCTCTGATGTAAAGACTGCAAACAATCGGCATCTTATAGATGGAGGAACCTATCAGAGGGGTCAGAGAGAAAGGTTAGAAGAAGTTTAGGTTATTAAATAATACCTGTAGCTGTATTTATTACATGAAGTGGAAGGATAACGGACCAACTGTGACTTAATGCTGGACTTAGCAGAAATAAGAAGTGAGGAAAACAGCGTTTGGAGGTTCCCTCTAAAGTTCCCTTTATTACTGGGTGGCGTGAAGCATCACCACATAATCTTTAGAAGGAGAAAAAACGCTGCATCCAACATTTTCAAAACGATAAAAAGTTAAGCTTACAGTTTGCAACATGCCAGAATGTAAATGGGGCATCATGTTTAAGAAGGTCCTCTCTGGTCTCTGCTGCCTACATGCAAAGCACCATTTCTGGGGTCCCCATAGGGACATGGTGGCAGCATCATGCTGTGGGATACTGGCAAGGATGGTAACACTGCTCAGTAAGAAAAGGAGCTGCATTTACATCACAAAGAATCAGTTTTAGGATGGCACAGTCAAAGTCCAGACCTAAATCTACGCCAGAATCTGGATCAAATTAAAAAAAGTAACGTTCAGAAAGTCTCTCGGCCGTATCAGCAGTACCATGTGATTCTAGAACGCTCTGCTGCTCGTTCACACAGGATCCCGTTAGAAGTCCTCATTTCTGTTGGAACATCTCCACTTTACGTCGATCTGCGTTGATTTTCTCTACATCTGTGTTTTTTTTTTTAGGCGCGATGTGAAAAAGGGAGAGAAGAACACCATCGTTACGTCCTTCAACAGGAACTTCACTGCCAGGAATGATGCCAACCCTGCGACTCACGCCTTCGTCACGTCTCCTGAGGTAAACTCAGACCCGTCCCTTAAACCAGGACACACAGGGTCACGCTTTGCAGCTGAGGTCCTTCTACTTCCGCCCCCCTCAGATCGTCACTGCCCTCGCCATTGCTGGGACTTTAGACTTCAACCCAGAGACGGATTATCTCACAGCGTCCAACGGAGAGAAGTTCAAGCTGGTGCCCCCCACCGGAGACGAATTACCATCCAGGGACTTTGACCCGGGTCAGGACACCTACCAGCATCCTCCCAGTGACGGCAGCAGCCTCAAGGTGGACGTCAGTCCTCAGAGCAACCGCCTGCAGCTGCTGGAGCCTTTTGACAAGTGGAGTGGAAAAGACCTGGAGGACATGGTGGTCCTCATCAAGGTGGGCCCCCTCCTAGAGATCAGCAATCTCCTCCCAGCTGCTGCTGTCTGAGTCTAACTCCCAGGTGTGTCTGCAGGTGAAGGGAAAATGCACCACAGACCACATCAGCGCCGCCGGACCCTGGCTGAAGTTCCGTGGCCACCTGGACAACATCTCCAACAACATGCTGATCGGTGCCGTAAACAGTGAGAACGATGCCGTCAACAAGATCAAGAACCATCTGACGGGAGAGTACGGCGGCGTCCCGGATGTGGCGCGGCACTACAAGGTCAGAGTTCACCCAAAACCGAATCTCTACCTTCTCCTGAATCTTCCTTCATTTACAGTGAAACGTTGACTCCCCGGTCGACCTGACGTTGCTTTTATCGCGCAGGCCAACGGCTTGTCATGGGTGGTGGTAGGAGATGATAACTACGGCGAGGGCTCCAGCAGAGAGCACGCCGCTCTGGAGCCAAGGCATCTGGGTGGAAGAGCCATTATCGTCAAGAGCTTTGCCAGAATCCACGGTATGACAGCGCAGCCGCTCAACTTTATTTTGTTAACCTCTCTTTGAACATGGCCAGTTCAGGTTTATTTTTTTAGTTTCCCAGTTTTGTAAAAAACATTTTAATCAGTTTATGAGACGATCATCTGCATAAATTAAGGGGATCCCAGCAAATGTATTAAATTTTATATAGGTTAGAAAATCCAACAAGCTGCAGCAATATGGTGCTAAATTTGGGCAATAAAGTTTGTTTGAAAACATTTTATTGAACTAAAAAAAATGGTTATTTAAAAAAAAAAGTTAGAAATTTAAATTTTTTTTAGAAACTTAAACAAAAAGATTTGAAACGGGGGAAAAGTGAAACTACAAAATGGATTTTACAAAAAAAATGGTTAAAATGACTTTTTAGCTTTTTTATATAAAAGTGCTTGTTCCTTGGTGAGGGGGCGGGGCTTAGATGACTGACGGCTCAGTCCCTCGGATATATAATATTCTCTGCCATTTCATTCTTTAGTCGTCACAATTAGAAAAGTCTTTGAGGCATAAACAGTGTGATTGGTTGGAAAAAAATAAGCTGTTTATGTCTCTCATGACACAAATTCATGACGTTGACAAATTTGCGTAGTCAGTCTACGTTGCACATTTGCGAAGCAGAACAGCTGGACCCACTTCAGCAGCCACAGTAGTTTAAATAATTTTTAGTTATTTTAAAACAAATTTTTTTGTCTCAAATTTCTTTTTCAGCCTTAGATATTTGTTTTCAGTAATTTTTTTTTCCCAAATCCTTTTTTTTAATATTAAATAATGTTTTTTGTTTCCAAAAACTTTTTCTTTTTTTTTTTCAGTCTCCAGATTTATCAGTTTAAATTTTTTTGTTTGTTTTTCAAATCATGTTCTTAGGCCTTATAGATATAGATGGATATACACACACATAATATGGATGTGTGTATTTTAGAAAAAAACAAACAAACAAACAAAAAACTTAACATTTTGGCCCCATTTTAGCTCCATACGATCGTTCCTTCTCAGCAAGAATGGGACAACTGTGGAAAAGAACCCCTCCCTTTTCAACAGAATCAAACCTCTAAAGCTGAGCTCTGTGTTGGAGACGATCTGCTGTCAGGGGCTTTGGATCACCGGCCTTTCAGTGCCTTCTATGGAAAAAGAAATCCCAAAGGGCAAATGCAACACAATAGGTTTTAAATGGCTTACATCATGATCAGCAGTACAGACAGCAACTACTGTATGTCAAAATTTTAAGGTAAAAAAAAACAAAATCAGGAAAACGGTATGCAAGCTTTTGTTTTTTGTAATTAACAGAGGAATAGGTTGTAATAATGCAAAAGGCCACAATGTTTCTGGGTTTAACAGTCAGTTTGAGGAAAGAAACACTGTTGGTTGGTTTTTGGTATTAGTGATATGTAGCTCCAAACTGAAGGTAAAAGTCAGTGGCAGAGTTCTTGAATTAAAAATATGTAAACGTAGAAACACTGAATAAAAACCAAGAGCGAGCGAGAGGATGACGTTAGTGGCTGAAATCTGTCAGTCAACCATCCCTTCCTGGAAAGAGTCTCTGCTGTGAAGAAGGAAAAACGAACAGCTGAAGTAGCAGTCCTTGGAATAACGCCTAAAAGGGGAGAAGCAGCAGTAAATATGTTTGAAATTGAAACAATTTTAGATTTTAACTAATAATTTCTCCTGTATTGCAGAAACAAACCTGAAGAAGCAGGGCCTGCTTCCACTCACCTTCAGCAACCCATCAGACTACGACAAGATCCGCCCAGATGACAAGATCTCCATCAAAGGACTGAAGACTTTTGCTCCAGGAAAGGTAAGAACTTATTCCTGATATGCTTTAGCTGTTCATAAGAAAACAAAAACATCTCCGCTGAGGGTCTTTTCTCCCTTATCATTGTCCTCAGCCCCTGACTGCAGTGGTAAAGCACAGCGACGGCAGCCAGGAGACCCTGACGCTCAACCACAGCTTCAACCAGACCCAGATCGAGTGGTTCCAGGCGGGCTCAGCCCTCAACAGGATGAAGGAGATGCAGCACTGAGCCTGGATGTGGGGGGAGGAACCAGAAGAGGAATCGGGGTGGTACAGATTGGGAGGAAACAGAAGGTCATTCAGGGTTTCATCACCAGGATTAGCTTGCAGTTTTGACTGAAGTTTAAATAATAAGGAAAGTAGGAATACTTTTCAGCTTCTAGCTAATGTTGTCGATGGAACAGTGGAACCTGATCAGTTAAATTTCTTACTCCTCTTTCATCAACATTAAGCATATTTTTAAAAATGTTTGGCCACCATGTTACCATAGAGCACAGAGAACCAGTTCTAGAGCCGTATCCCTGGATACCATCAGTATGTTTAAACCAGTCTGTACAATGTTGGTCAGCTGCTTTAGGGTCATCTTGTCCCTCTGTTAGTCACAGGTAAATACTCACATTTTCTCACACTTAAAACTTGCCCCCTGGTGGTTCAAAGGAGGTACTGCAGAGGGTGCAGCAGGCAGACCTGTTGTATTTACATGAGATTACAGTTTGTCTAACAGAGCGACACCATTGGGTAAATTTTTATATTAATGTCTTAGACGGTTTCACCACAGAGCTGCATTACTTCACGTTCAGATATGTTCAGTTTAGTTTAATATGACGTCCCATCCTCCTATCTCACTTCTAATGAGGTCAAGCAGCACGTTGTGCAGCATTTTGTTGTTTCTGCTGTTTTGTATTTATCCATGTTTTTTTCTCAGAGCAGTTCCAGACCTTCATCATTTCACTAACAGGGCAAACATGTATTTTTCAGGGTTCTTTATATGCAGGTTTTTTTTTTTTCTGGTCCTACAAAAACTAAACTGGTTCATTAGGGACGTATCATTTTTAAAAACCCATAAAACTGTTCATTTTCTGGGCCTTTGTTTATACAAAGAAAACTTAAATCATTTAAATCAGGAGAAAGGATGGGGTCACTAGGATTGGAAACAGATTGTTGGATCTTTGCCCACAGATATTTTTCTGCCAGCCAGATGAAATCTCTTCCTTTTAACCACTCCATGTAAAGTGTCTGATTCTGTGTGCAGTTTTGCCTTCGCTCCCAAATGATCGTTTCTGTATTACAGAAATTTTAAGAGATTGTAAAATAAAAATGAACTGATATCATATATGCAGGTAGTATTGTGGCTGTTTGTTAAACAGTATTAAAAATCATTATGGTTCAAAACATGGAGATGTTTATTTTTTATCCTTTATTTCCTCTAGAAAGCAAGTACATTGGCCTTGGTGCCTTTTTATTTTTTTTTCTCTTAAAAGCTTTAAAACTTAATTTAGATTATTTTTTTTTTTACTTGGGTATATTGTTTGGCTGTCGGTCATCATTCAGTAGAATTTAATTCCATGTCGTTCAGTCCTGCTCCCACACGGAGTAGGGAATCAGTTTGAAACTAAAAAATCCAACCAGTGAATGAACTGGATTTGGCAAAATACCAATTAACAGTCCCATAAAACAATAAACAAAGTAAAAATCTATTTATGATGCAATTACCAAATTATTAAACTATTTTTTTTATATATATCTTTATGAAAATTCACAAAATGACTAAAAATGTAAGATTTCTTATCACAGTGACAAAGTAGTTATTTTGTATCCATTTGTTAATATGAAGCACACATGTTACAAACAATATATAAAATATTCTTAAAAAAAAAAATTCAAATAAGAGAAAAGCAAAACAAAAAC